GGAAGAATTGATTTTGAATAGTGACATGATGGGAAATGTGTGGTTGAAAAAGAAGATAAGATTATTGATGTGATAGAAAATATTATTTTATTGAAAAATGTGTGGTTGAAAATGAGAATTGATTTACTGTTGAAAATGAAAATTGGTACCAAACATAGCCATAGTCACAACATGAATAATTTCCATCGTGAAGGTTTGACACGATCTGTCCTGAATCATTTTAGTAAATTTGAAACGTGATACTTGGTAATGATGGATGCTGCTAGTTAGAAGCGGATTGTGGCATGTTACATGGACTGCTATTAATGTGTTTAGTATTAGATATATTTTTAAAATCGTTCTAACTAAACTCTAAAATTTTGTCCACCATCTTCGATCATAGACTTTCACATTGCTATAACATTGAGAGACCGTTAAATGAACACTGTAAATCGTAACGAATTAGATTTTACATGAAGATGTGATTTTTTTGTCTATTGTATTTAATAAAGACGGGTCAATCTTATCCAAAATTTGAAGGGGGTAACAATGAGTCACATCATTTAAAATATACTTGGTTTATCATGATTGGACGAATTAAATGTGAGAAGTATACGATAAAACTTGTCAATTATTATATTTAGAGCATGTTTGAGCCTCATTTTATTGTAAGAATACATTTTGAAATAATAGATTGACGGAGAATTTGTTCTTAAAAAACAAGGAAAATGTTTGAGTTTGCGTGTAATATTATTTTATTAAAGAATGTGTGGTGGAAAAGAAAATAGGAAAAAAATACATTTTGAGAAAAATAGGGATTAAACAAGGTTTAGTCTTGTTAAATGTTAATAGATGGACCAAGCATCCCATGAATCTCCAAACTAATATAATCTAATAATAAGACTCGAGTTTCAAATAATCTTATTAAAATGGATAGTCCAAACCCTTATATTATTTTATCTTTATTCGACGTGACTTTAACTTACTAATTAATAGTGGTATTTGTTTAATTAAGTTTGAACTTTAGTTTATATTGTCACTTTTGGAAATGGAATCCACATGACCATATGCATATGAAGCCATAATTACACTTTAATTACATTTAACATTCAAAAGTAGAACCTAATTTAATAATCTCTAATTTACCACATGTCCTCACAACATGAAAGCAAACCCTTTTTCAAGATTTTATATTAGTTATGATGATGATGATTAGAGTGTACTTTGCTAGGGTTTAAGCTCTAATCTTATTTGTTAATAATAACTCAATTAGCTTTCATTAACTTAATTTGTAAAATAAATTATAGAGTTTTGGAATTTTATAAAGAATAGGGTACCCCACCCACCCCACCCCACCCCACCCCAACTAACTTTGAGTTGTTTTGGGGTGTAAATTCATGCATGAGAAGACGAGGGGAGCATGTGGATGAAACCTTGGTTTTCATAGTCTCTCCTTTTCATGAAAAGATTGTTAACTATGTATGAGCTTGGAATTTGTAAGATTTTAGTGTGTCACTTCCAACTTAGCTTAGGCCACCTATAATAATTTATGAAACTAAACTCCAAAAGGAATATGTTAAAAGATGGAAAAAGAGGTAAAAGTACAAGAAAATCTATGTTTCATTTTGGGTTTGTTCGATCTTAATTTATTGTGTAATAGTAAGTAACAAGTCTCGCTATGCAAGTTTTGTATCAAATAATTACGTTTTAGTGCATGATTCGAGATATTTTCTCGACATTCAAAAGTTATAAATTAATTGAAGTTGGAGCTTCAATCACACAACTTGTAATGGTCACGGCTCTACGCAACACTACAAGTAACTAATTTTAAAACACAAAAATAAAATTAAAAAATCTCTTAATCTCTTCAGCCGTCAGGCTAATCACAAGACCACGAGTGCATACTCATCATCATTTAATTAATTAAAATTATAAAAACTTGGTCCAAAATAATAATTTTTTCTTTTTTAAAAAAAAGGTACATACTCATATCTCATGCATGATATGATAGGGTTGTGTGATGTATTCTTTAAACCTAATTTCTACTTCCCACTACCCATAATTGTATGCTCCACAGCCAGGGTGGGAGC